TCTGTAGAGAGCACTTTTCAGCAGCCATTGAACCGCTGAAAGAGCTTTTGACCTTTCATCTCCCATCAACGTCTCTACACATAGGCATTTGAGTAAATTATCATTTATAATATGGCCCTAACTGCCATCCCGTTGCCTGCCCCCCGTCCCCCTCCCTTCTTTCCATGTGTTTAAACTATGGGTCCCCAGTTTCCTACTTGCTGTCCAGTCAGCTGGGGCACATAGTGACCCGCCGGACAATGGAACAACACACTGTCTGTCCCGCCCATCCCACCATTGTTCCCGCTGCCGCAGCCCTGGTGTCTGCCATCTGGTCCAGCGCCGTCCTCTTTGTTGCCGCCCCTCCACTTCACCAAGCACGAGGTCCTGCTTCAGGCACCAGTCTCTCCGGACAACATGCCCAATGTCCGGGACGGTCTTTCCCTCCTTGCCTCTCAGGAGCATTCTGTCTGCACTCCTCCCGGGACAGAGCTGTTGGTACTTTCGCTGTTCTTCTCCAGCCCCACAGTGCACGTGCATCGCGTCCTCTTCAGTCTCCCTTATTCAGTGTCCACCTTCCACAGGCATGGGAGGCGATTGAAAACACCATGTTGGGTCTGGTGCTCCGTAGACCTCAAAGTCCCCCTCTCGCTCTTCAACGCTTACAAGGGGTCTTGCGCAGCAGGTTGACCCAGTGGGACATAGGTAGGGCCTGTAAGACCAGAACCACAGCGTATTGATTGGGGGAAAGAACAATTCGTATGGCGTTACGGCTAGCCCAATCCTATGTATGTATGTATGTGTATATATATATATATATGTGTATATATATATGATATAGGAAATAGGAAATCGGGATAGAATAGATAATATATAAAACACATCCCAAAGACTTCACGCCCCAGTGGATATGCCCCGGCAGTGGGGGTGCAGGGTGGGGGTGGGGAAGGCGAAGTCATTGACTTGCTGTGCTTAGCACCCCGGCTTGTAACCACCGTGCCACCACCAGGGTTCAGCTACTTCTTTTTTTTCCCTTTTTATATCACTTTATTGGGGGCTCGTATAGCTCTTATCATAATCTATACTTACATTCATTTGTGTCAAGCACATTTGTACATTTGTTGCCATTATAATTTTCAAAACATTTTCTTTCTACTTGAGCCCTTGGTATTATTATTATTATTATTTTAATCATTTTATTAGGGGCTCATACAACTCTTATCACAATCCATACATACATCAATTTTGTAAAGCACATTTGTACATTCATTGCCCTCATCATTCTCAAAACATTTCCTCTCCACTTAAGCCCCCGGCATTAGGTCCTCATTTTTCCCCTCCCTCCCTGCTCCCCCCTCCCACATGAGCCCTTGGTAATTTATAAATTATTGTGGTGTCATATCTTGCCCTGTCTGACATCTCCCTTCACCCACTTTTCTGTTGTCCGTGTGGGAGGGGGTCACATATAGTTCCTTGTAATCGGTTCCCTCTTTCCAACCCCCTCTCCCTCTACCCTCCCAGTATCACCACTCACACCACTGGTCCTGAAGGGATCATCCGCCCTGGATTCCCTGTGTTTCCAATTCCTATCTGCACCAGTGTACATCCTCTGGTCTAGCCAGACTTGCAAGGTAGAATTCGGATCATGGTAGTGGGAGCGGGGAGGAAGCATTTAGGAACCAGAGGAAAGTTGTATTTTTCATCGTTGCTACATTGCACCCTGACTGGCTCATGTCCTCCCCAAGACCCTTCTGCAAGGGGATCTCCAGTGGCCTACAAATGGGCTTTGGGTCTCCACTCCGCACTCCCCCCATCATTCACTATGATAAGATTTTTTGTTCTGATGATGCCTGATAACTGATCCCTTCGACACTTTGTGGTTGCATAGGCTGGTGTGCTTCTTCCATGTGGGCTTTGTTGCTTCTGAGCGAGATGGCCGCTTGTTTACCTTCAAGCTTTTAAGACCCCAGACGCTATATCTTTTGATCGCCGGGCACCATTCGCTTTCTTCACCACATTTGCTTAGTCACCCGCTTTGTCTTCAGCGGTTGTGTCGGGAAGGTGAGCATCATAGAATGCCAATTTAATAGAAGAAAGTATTCTTGCATTGAGGGAGTACTTGAGTGGAGGCCCAATGTCCTTCTGCTACCTTAATACTAAACCTATAAATATAGGCACATAGATCTATTTCCTCATCTTCATATATAAATATATTTGCATATGCACATGTCTTTATCTAGACCTCTATAAATGCCCTTTGCCTCCCAGCTCTTTCTTCTAATTCCCTTGACTTTCCTCCTGGCCCACTATCATGCTCATTGCCCACCAGGGTTTCAGCAATTCCTCTTGGTTACATTACCCTTGATCATGCCCTACCAGGCCTCCCACACCCACCTCACCACCAATTTGGATCACTTGTTCAGCTACTTCTTTTGGTTAAAAAACCCCAATTCATGTGTGAGCATTCCTGTCGTAATTACTGCACTCCAGTAAGAGCCCGCAGGACCTCTGGCAGGCTCGGCCTCCTGGCCTTCCTTGTCTCCTGCACTGAGATTGGGATTGGTCCTGCCCCGTCCCCACCAGCCTCCCAGGGCCGCAGAGAGGATTGGATGCAGCTGTGGATGACTACTCATTATTTCATTTTCTCATATGACACCGCCATTGCCTGGTTAAAGTGCAGGGGAGGCACATGTGTGCCTGTGGTTGGCTCCGGGGAGGGAGCGTTCCTCTCGAGGCAGCTGCCCATGTGGCCACAGCTGCTCGCCGGAGCCTGACTCTCCAGTTCTGGCATCGCTCCATGCTGCCTGGGCGTCCGAGGAGGCGCCCTGCCTCTGGCTCCCAGCACATTGACACACACACATGTCAGCACACACACAAGCACACTCGAACCACACACTCACGCACATGCACAGAAACACACATTTATGCACACACCATACTCACTCTTGCACACACAGCACATGTCCAAGCATCCAAGCACACATGCATATCACATACAACCACACATATGCACACCCACCACACACGCGTGCACACTGCCCACAAGCACATACTCATACATACACTTGTGCACACACAAGCACACGTACATGCACATGCACACACTGAACACACGTACACATCTCACACATGCATACCCTCATACACACCCTCATGCACTTATACTCACGAATAGACTCTGCACACGCACACACTTATGTACACACACACATATGCACACACCATGCAATGCACATCCATCTGTACACGTTCATGCCACATACTCAGGAACACTCACATGCACTGCTCAACCACATGCATGCACCTAAGTACATATACTCACACACACATACACTCCTGCACACTTATATGCACACACAGACTGCACACACCACATACATGCACATATTCACACATGCTCCCAGCTCCCACGTACATACACTCACAGTGCACACATGCACATACCCACACGCACACAGGGGCACACACTCCGACACCGGATGGAGCAGCGGCCCTGGTGTGAGGCTGTCACTCCAGGGAAACCCTCTCTTGCATGGCCTGTGGTGCCCTCCCTCCAAGAATCAGCCC